TAATGAAATAAAAACTCAGTTCTCTACTTCTGTTCATATTCTTCGTACTGATAATGCTTTGAAATATATGAAAAATGACGTTTCAAAATTTTGTGCTCTTAATGGTATTATTCATCAAACTTCATGCTTTCACACTTCACAACAAAATGGAGTTGCTGAGAGAAAACATAGACATATTCTCGATGTTGCTAGAACACTGATGATACATATGAATATTCCAAAGTACTTGTGGTCGGACATATTCTCGATGTTGCTAGAACACTGATGATACATATGAATATTCCAAAGTACTTGTGGTCGGATGCTGTCCTCACAATATTCCAAAGTACTTGTGGTCGGATGCTGTCCTCACTGCCTGTCATTTGATTAATCGCATGCCTTCCTTTGTTCTTGATGGTTTGATACCATTCCACTGTCTTTATCCTGCTAAAAAATATTTTTCTGTGATTCCTCGAGTTTTTGGTTGTACGTGTTTTGTTCAGGATTTGACTGCTGGTTTGGATAAATTGTCTCCTAGGTCCATTAAGTGTGTGTTTGTTGGATACTCACATACTCAAAAAGGGTATAGATGCTATCATCCGACCACCAGGAGATATTTTGTTTCTGCTGATGTTACCTTTTTTGAGTCTGTCCCATATTTTTCCTCTGGTTCCACTACCTCTGTCAGTCCACAGGTGCCACTACCTTCTACGGCTCCCACTACTATTCCGGTATCTGCTCCTGAGGCTACTGCACCAAAGCCTCTACTGACATACTCTCGCCGTCCTAAAGTACATACACCTGTCTCTGCTCTCGCCGTCCTAAAGTACATACACCTGTCTCTGCTCTCGCCGTCCTAAAGTACATACACCTGTCTCTGCTCCTGCTGACTCTTCTTCTCCAGCTGCAGGTCCATCTCATGTCGAGCCTCATATCTCTTCTGACTTAGATGTTCCTATTGCTCTTCGTAAAGGTAAACGGTCTTGCCCAAAATATCCTATCTCTTTTTTTTGTCTCTTATGACCGTCTCACCTCATCATTTCGTCAGTTTGCTTTGTCATTGTCCACTATATCTTTACCCAGGTCACATGAGGAAGCTTTGTTAGTACCCGCCTGGAAACAGGCTATGGATGAGGAGATGAATGCACTGCTTTCTAGAGGGACTTGGGATTTGGTCTCTCTACCTGCTGGAGCGACTGTGGTTGGCTGCAGATGGGTGTATACCTTGAAATATCGTCCTGATGGGTCTGTTGATAGATATAAAGCTCGCCTGGTTGCTAAAGGATATACCCAGACATATGGTATTGACTATTTTGAAACTTTTTCTCCCGTTGCTCGTCTCAACTCCATCAGAATTCTTTTCTCTCTGGCTGTTAATATGGATTGGGCGATGCACCAACTAGATGTGAAGAATGCTTTCCTTTATGGTGATTTGGACGAGGAGGTTTATATGGAGCAACCTCCTAGGTATGTTGCTCAGGGGGAGAATCTTATCTGCAGGCTGAGAAAGGCCATCTATGGGTTAAAGCAGAATCCTCGAGCTTGGTTTGATAAGTTCAGCAAGGTTATTTCTAATATTGGTTTTCAACGTTGTCAGTCTGATCACTCTGTCTTTCTTCGACGCACAACAACTGGTTTGGTTATTTTAGCCATATATGTTGATGATATTCTGTTAACTGGGAGTGACTCTGTTGTCTTAGCTGAGACTAAGGAGTATCTAAACCGTCATTTTGTCACTAAGGACATGGGAAAGCCAAAGTATTTTCTTGGGATTGAAGTTGCATATAAAAACATGGCCTGTTGTTGTCCCAAAGAAAGTATGTGCTAGATTTACTAGAAGAAGCAGGTCTCTTGGAATGCAAACCTGCAAGTACTCCAATGGAGACAAATATTGATTTGTGGCGTGATGATACCTCTCTACTAGATGATGCTGCACGATATAGGAGACTAATTGGGAAGTTAATATATTTGACAGTTACCAGACCTGATATTACTTTTGCAGTAGGTGTACTGAGCAGGTTTATGCACAAACCTAGAGAGGTTCATTGGACAGCAGCTCTGAAGATTTTGGCATATGTCAAAAGTTGTCCTGGCAAGGGATTGTTATATAAGAAGCATGGACATACTCACATTTCGGCTTTCTCTGATGCTGGCTACGCAGGAGACATGAGAGACCGAAAGTCAACCTCAGGATTTTGTACTTTTGTTGGAGGTAATCTTGTGACTTGGAGAAGTAAGAAACAAGATGTAGTATCACGATCTAGTGCAGAGGCTGAATATAGAGCAATGGCTCACACTGCTTGTGAGATGGTGTGGCTAAGAAAGTTTATGACAGAGCTTGGTTTTGTTCAGTCTGAACCCATGCCAATGCATTGTGACAACCAGTCTGCCATTTATATTGCACAGAATCCTGTGTTTCATGAGAGGACAAAACATATTGAAGTTGACTGTAATTTTGTCAGAGATGCTTGGGAGAAGAAGATAGTATCTCTCACATTCACTCCGTCCTCACAACAACTTGCTGATATTCTTACCAAGGCTACTTCTTCAAAGGTGTTTTCTACTATATGTGACAAGCTGGGCATGGTGGATATTTATGCTCCAGCTTGAGGGGGAGTGTTAGATTAAGTCTATTGGGTATTGGGTTAATGGGCTGTGACCCGTTAACCATACCCCTACTTGTATGACTATATATATCTCTTTAGTATCTGAATAAATCAATGAAGTTAGGGTTTTTGCTCTCTCAATTATCTCTTTCTACAGGTATCATCTTCTGGTTTAGATGTGCATTTGAGCATATGTTTATGCATTTATGTTGGTTTAGATTTGTACATTTTTGTTGGTTTCTATACATGTGGCGATACATGCTTCGTGTTATGTATGTTTACTATTTTGTTGTCTGAAATGTAAGATGGAGAAGTGCTATTATATGCTTTAATTTTTCAACTCATCAGTTATATCGATTGCATTTGGTACGTTTACTTTTTCATTTTATTATAGAATTGCATAGGAAAATTTGTTAAAGATTGTACTTTTGTTCATTTTGCAATGGTACAATGAAACTTGGGGTTATCTGATACTATTATGATACAGATGTTGGACTGAGCTTTGTTTGCACTAGCTTATATTTTGTTAATTGTCAGGTTGCTTTAAAGAATACATCTTGAGCTAACTATATAATTGGAAAAGGATGAAGTTGAATCGGAGGTACAAGTTGCTTAAAACTGATAATCCCATGTCTTATCAACACAGCAGCGCATACTGTAGAAAAAAAAGATAAAAGACCCATGATGTGAGGAAATTTTGCACTAGGCAGTAAATCAGCAGAGAGCAGACAAAGAATAATTTACTGAATCCAAGCATTTGGAAGAGAATAAGCAAATTGACCAGTTAGTATACACATGACGTTGGCACTATTACATCAAAAAAATAAATGGAAATAACAAAAAGGACAAAAGAGTGAAATTTTTAAGGGCTAAAGGGTATCTTCGTCTTTTTTTGGTCACGCAGAGGGCCAAAGACACGTGACAAGTTAGACTTGACAGTCTAACTTTGAGGGGTTAAAGTGAAAAGCATTTAGGGGGTTTCCTTGGAATAAAAGAAGTTTGGGGATTATTTGCATAACCCCTCAAAGTTCAGGAAGGTTTTGTGGAACTAAAATAGTTAAGTGGGTTATCTGAAAAACTCCCAAATTTAAAGGGTTTTGTGAAATTTATCCAGTAATTAACTATTGGTAAAATTCAACACGTGTAGAATTTTGATCAACCTTGCTGATCTGCCAAGTTACAAATAAAGATGAGTGTAATAATAATTATGTTTACCACAAATTTCATATGTCAATGTAAAAGAGACGATGAAGACCTGAAAAAAATTGTTTGTTGTCGGACCCAGGGTCTGGTATCCAATTAATTAGGATTTTAGTACTTCAGGAACTAGGGTTTTGATCCAATTGATAACTTTCTTTTAAGCCGTTAGATTTTCATCCAAGGGGTAAAATGGCTCTCCTATTTTATGCAGGAGAAAGTATATGATACGGGTGTATCTTCTCTTCGGAACTTAGCGATCCTCATAGGAGCTTGAGGATAGATCATTCTCATGATAACTTGAGAATATATGTGTAAACCAACACAGTGGAACGCAGGTTGAAACGTGGAACGAGACGACGAATCGAAGAATCGAAGCTTCCGGTTTTCAGCCCGTGAGTCGACTCATACATGTACATGAGTCGACTTATCAGGTTGAGTCGACTTATGCTTGTCATGAATCGACTCACGAAACCCAGTCATTTTATCAAAAGTTTCTGACTAGTCGACTCATGCTTGTCATGAGTCGACCCATGTGTCATGAGTCAGTTGACTCATATATGCACATGAGTCGACTCATCGATGATTTCCTGATTCGTTTGGGTTTCTATTTTCACGAATTCCTGTGGGGTTTGGGCTTGATTATTTACCACTTTGCCACCCACGTTGTTACACCTATAAAAGAGATTGTTTAGGGTTTCTAATCAATCAGATGTAATCAAAGAGAGATTCTAATCAAGAGAGATTAAGGTTTAGAGAGAATTGAGAGTTTGTTCTTGATTCTAGTGAGATTGTGAGAGAGGAATTGTAATCTTTTCATACTCATAGTCTAGAGAGAGTATTTTTCTTCGCCACCACTGAATTATTCTTGTGTTTCTGTCATCCTCTTCTCAACCCACCTTTGATAATTCCGCGATCAAAGGTGCTCGCATGACGACTCGTATCAAGTTGGTATCAGAACGATCAGATCCTGTGAATGGGGCATCCGTATATGGTCCTGACTCGATCGCAATACAAGAAGTTAAGAGAGATCCTTATTTCATTGGAAGAGGTCCAGAAATTAAGGAAGAAGAAGATGACTGAAGGAGATAGTTTAGCGAGGCTAGATGCATTGGAGAAACAGATAGAGACAATGAGTTCGACTCTCACACAGCTCGTCAATATCTTCCAAGAAAAGAACAAAAAAATGAATCTTCTTCGAAAGGCAAGAAGAAACTTATGGAATCCGATGGAGAAGGCGAGGAATCTGATTCTGATAAGGAGACCGAGATTGTCAAAACTGTTCCACATCAAGAGGGTAAGAATTACTACCAGAATTTAAAAATTAATTTTAAGATGGAGATTCATGTTTATGATAGGAGTGTCAATATGGAGAAGCTCGATGATTGGATCGAGCGTATCAAGATGTATTTCACTTTTTATGGATATTCATCCAAGGAGAAGATTGTGTTCGTGACTTTAAAGCTTTCAAGGCATGCGTTGACGTGGTGGAAATCCTACTGTAAGCAGGAGAATAAGGCGATAACGTGAAACAAGTTTAAGGAGTTACTGAGAAAACAGTTCTATCCAGTGGGGTTCCTTGATGAGCGTTGGTACAAGTGGTACAAGTGAGTCTAGTGGTTCCAAACATAAGGAGGAGAAGAATGGCGATCCAGGGAGAGCAGAACTGATTTGTAGTCATTACGAGAAGACAGGACATATAGCTGATCGATGTTGGGAGAAGTATCCTCATCTGAAGCCAAAGGGCTTGAAGAAAAAAAAAAGACATACGCGATAGCACAGGGTCCAAAGGAAGTTCCTAGAATGACAGAGCCCAACAGTAATCTCAATCTTATAGCAGGAAAACAGGTCACGAAAGAGGACGAAGACCCCCGAGACAGCTTTTTGTGTTGAAGTTGCAAGTGAAGACCAGTTTGGTTGATGCAATTATTGATCCAGGCAGCGAAAAAAATTTGATATCCGAGGCATTCAGAAGCTGTGTCTGAAGATAATCAAGCATCCGAAACCCTATCCATTGGGGTGGCTTCAGAATGAGACGAGACTAAGTGTAGTTGATCACCGCACTGTCAGATTTACGCTCCACGAGTCGTATATTAACGAGGTCACTCACGACGTCGTTTTATTGGATGTTTGTCAGGTTATACTGGACAATCCGTACTTGTGGGATAGATACGCGATCTACGAAAGACGGGCCCAGAAGTACACATTCACCAAGGACGGTAAAAAGTTTATATTTCGTTCGACGTCTCTTCCGAGGAAGACAAACTTGGCGACGGTGACGCGAACAAAGAGGCTAGTGAATGCAAGCAAAAAGTTCGTCTCGCTATGCATTAGACTTCATGACGAGCCATCGAAAAGGAGTTGCATGTTAGAGCGGAAAACGACTATGATGAGGCGAGGAACGAAAGAGTTGTTTCCATTTGTACGTCGATATCAGGTTTCTAGCAAGGCCAGGTGGTACAGAAAGGATGGAGGAGCTCGCGAGTTTTCTCAGCTGAAGTTCTAACTTGAATGAGACTTCAAGTTCCTAAAGGAAAGACCCATGATACGAGTGTATCTTTTCTTCGGAACTTAGCGATCCTCATGAGAGCTTGAGGATAGATGATTCTCATGGTAACTTGAGAATAGAGGTGTAAAACAACACAGTGAAACGCAGGTTGAAGCGTGGAACGAGACGGCGAATCGAAACATCCAGTTTTTAGCCCGTGAGTCGACTCATACATGTACATGAGTTGACTCATCACGTTGAGTCGACTCATCAGGTTGAGTCGACTCATGTCTGTCATGAGTCGACCCATGTGTCATGAGTCGACTCATATATGCACATGAGTCGACTCATCGATGATTTCCTGGTTCGTTTGGGTTTCTATTTGTACGAATTCCTATGGGGTTTGGACTTGGTTATTTATCACTTTGTCACCCACGTTGTTACACCTATAAAAAGGGTTGTTTAGGGTTTCTAATCAATCAGATATAATCAAAGAGAGATTCTAATCAAGAGAGATTAGGGTTTAGAGAGAATTAAGAGTTTGTTCTCGATTCTAGTGAGATTGTGAGAGAGTGATTGTAATCTTTTCATATTTAGAGAGAATTAAGAGTTTGTTCTCGATTCTAGTGAGATTGTGAGAGAGTGATTGTAATCTTTTCATACTCATAACCTAGAGAGGGTATTTTTCTTCACCACCACTAAATTATTCTTGTGTTTCTGTCATCCTCTTCTCAACTCATCTTTGATAATTCCGCGATCAAAGGTGCTCGCACGGCGACTCGTATCAGTATGTCTGACACCATAAAAACGTTCCTTATCTATATAATTGTACTTATCTATATAATTGTAGACATGAAAAACAAGAATCGTTTAAGAAATTAAATTTCTATTATGCTTCATCATCATCAATCTTCATGTTTGAAGTGAAGATCAATGCCAAAGAGATATTTTCGATAAAGGCATGAACTGTTTATTGCTTCTGCATCTGGTAATTCTGCTCATAAGGTATTGACACTAATCTTCGACAAACGATTATTCATTCTGTTCATAAGGTATTGACACTAATCTTTGACAAACGAGTATTCATTCTGTTCATAAGGTTGATTGGTGGTCAGGTTTCTACTTGGGTTCACATTCTTTTGGATTTGGATTAACTCTTCATAAATTCAAAACTAAGAGTGTTTGGTAACCAAAGTGTTTCTTTTTGTTGTGTTTTTTAAAAAACATCATACCATGGTGTTTATTTTTCAAATGTGTTTTCAAAACTGGAAAAATTTGTCAAAACATTTCTTGCCATACTAAACACTTCAACAAATATAAAGCTTTATCTCAACAGTTTATTCTTATGGTTCACCATACCAATTTGTCAAGGCATCCATTTTTAACTGGAAAAATTAAATTTTGTTGATCAATAAACCATGGAATCTAGCTAATCTACACCAATTTCTTTTTTTGCCCCAACTTCATAGGGAACAAATTTGCTAATTTCTTTCCCAACTGTACCATAAAAATGTACTATATACAAAACTAAACCCAAAGAAAAACCCTAGATCTCTCAAAAGACAACAAGCCTTACCCCCAAAAGTCCTCCGCTGTAGCGAACTTGTGTACGGAGCGGATCGAGGTTCCCTAATCAACCAGCTTCGACTTCGTCGACAGATTATCGAACCAAAACCTCCACGAGTGCTCCAATGGATGCGACGACTGGCGCGAGAGCGGGGAACTCCGCCTCGAGATCGGAGGCGGAGAGATGAGCCCACTCGATCTCGCCCTCCTCGAGCTCGGAGTCCCTGCTTCTCTCCCGTCGGAGGCTGGGTGACGGGTCGGCATCGGGGCGGCGACGAGGAGGGGGCGGCGATGGTGTTAGGGTTAAGGGAGAGAGAGGGGATCGAGATGGTTTGGGGGAGAAATAAAAGCCATGGAATCTCAAAAACACCTTTAAGGTGTTTTGAGATAAGCGTTAAGACTTTTTATTTTTGTATATGGTCAGCTTAAAAAAAAGCTTCACTTCCCAGGATTGGAAGCCTCAAGCTTATCAAGCTGTTGTTGATGAGTTAAAATCCAAATTGGGTTTGTCTATCACGGTGGATCACGTAAGGAATAGGGTAAAACTTTGGAAGAGACACTATGCCATCATCACTGAAATAAGGACAAAAACCAAGTTCAGATGGGACGATGATAAGAAAATGGTGGTAATTACTATTGAGGACTTGGTAGATTGGACCAAGTATTGTGAGGTATGTTGAATCTATGTTTTTGTAAGTTTTTAACATCATGAAGAATCTATGTTGAGTTGTCTTCTTATATACATGTTTTAAAGTAAATCTGATGCAATTTATATGCAATTTACCAGCTGTTGATAAAAGGAAACTTTCATACATGGCGAAAAAGAATCATGTCAGCAAGAGTACTGAGATGTTTGATTGTGAAGTCAATCTATTTATTAAACATAGGCATCCATGCATACGGAAAGATATTTAATACATACATATGTAGATAGTTGTTTTCACCGTATTGAATAATTGTGTTACTAGATTGTCTCACTATGTTTTTGTATGTTCTCATGCTTGCATAGGTAAATTCAGATGCCAAGGCATATCAAAACAAAGCTATTGAGAACCGAGATGACATATGTGTGTTAGTGGGCACCGATAGAGCAACTGGCGAGGGTGCAGAACAAATTGATGATTCTATTGCAGCTATGGATATGGAAGGTGCGAATGAAGGGGAGAGCTCTAGCAGAGAGGTTTCAAAATCTTCAACTTCTAAATCCAATAAGAAGCTCAAGGGAGACCCTTTAGCAAATGCAGTAAGTGATGTTGGTGAGATGCTAAAGGAGTATCTAGTGAGTACGAACCCACCAAAAGCTGATTGCGAAGAGATTTATGCCGAGGTATCTAAAGTGAGGGGTATTCCTCCACATCAATTTTTAAGGGCGGTTAAGAGATTCATTGATGGTTCTGCACATGATTTTCGAATGTTGAAGTTACTTCCAGACTATCAAAAGTTAGATTGGATTATGCTATGTCTTGAAAACTCAGACTAAGGTAAAAAATAACTCATTAACTTTTGCATCTATTTTGCATCTCATCTATGTAGTTCACTTGCAGCAGTTTCCTATATTCTCATGTAATCCATTTCCAACTTCCTTTTTGCACATTTCCGTTCATGTACTTATATCTTTGTGTGAATCGCATACGTATCCCTCCATTATTTAAAAAAATGAATAAAACAATATTAATGGGTTATGCTATGTCTTAAAAACTCAAAATGAGGGGTATATGCAGCAATAGTCCCATATTCTATCTGCAATTTTCATTTTTAAGTCTTAGGGGTTTATATGCTAATAGATTATTTCCATGGTTATTTTTCTTTTGTTTTCTTGAGATTCCTTTATAGTATCACACTTCAAAATGGTGCTCATTTAGTCTTCTTATTGTTTTAGGTGATTTAAGACCTCACAAAACAGGACTTCTTGAACTGGGGAGAGAAAGCTACAATAAGAAATACTTTCTTTTGTTTTCTTGAGATTCCTTTATAGTATCACACTTTAAAATGGAGCTCATTTGGTCTTCTTATTGTTTCAGGTGATTTAAGACCTCGCAAAGCAGGACCTCTTGAACTGGGGAGAGAAAGCTACAATAAGAAATACAAAGCAAAAGTGTATAAGCATTAAAAAGAAACTATTATTTGAATCAGATGTAAAAGTTTTAAAGAAACTAGAGCGAGAGCAATTTAAGAATGATACCGTATAATGGGGAAATATTAACTAAAATTGTAGCTCGAACATATTTTGGATCTCTAGTTTGTTGAATTGTTATATGCAATATTTGAAGTTTCTACTTTATTTATTGTTTTGGTTAGTGGTGGACAAGTTTACAAAGTTTTATTGATGAATGATTTCGGTTATTTTTATGGTGATTATTAGGTGAACTATTGACATTCAGGCATTTTAGGTTTTAAGGTATTCGCCGGATCGGGGCGGCGACGAGGAGGGGGCGGCGATGGTGTTAGGGTTAAGGGAGAGAGAGGGGATCGAGATGGTTTGGGGGAGAAATAAAAGCCATGGAATCTCAAAAACACCTTTAAGGTGTTTTGAGATAAGCGTTAAGACTTTTTATTTTTGTATATGGTCAGCTTAAAAAAAAGATCGGGGCGGCGACGAGGAGGGGGCGGCGATGGTGTTAGGGTTAAGGGAGAGAGAGGGGATCGAGATGGTTTGGGGGAGAAATAAAAGCCATGGAATCTCAAAAACACCTTTAAGGTGTTTTGAGATAAGCGTTAAGACTTTTTATTTTTGTATATGGTCAGCTTAAAAAAAAGCTTCACTTCCCAAACGTATTTGATTGATTTTTTGAAAAAAAGACACGGAAACAGAAAAAACACTCCACTTACCAAACACTTCCTTAAGTTATTTGAGTTTTGGCTGTCACCCAGGTGTAAATTGAGTTTAAGAATACGTTATTTCAAGCATCCATTTAAACGAAAGAAAGGTTTTTCACTTGTATAAATCATACCTACTGATCTAGAAATTCAGAAAGTAGAAATATAATAAAAAAATTTAAGACTGATGAGCATATTTATAAATCAACTGGGGGGTTTTGAATGTTGGATCAGTTATTGGTATCCTCTGTGTGATAAATTGTACTCCATAATAATTAATCAAGGGGTAAATCTTAATGGTAGTTCCTCTTAATTTATGATATTCATAAGGAACTTTTTTTGCCCCAAAATTGACTCTAATTGTGGCAACTAACTTGAAATATATGCTAAATTTACAATATAATAACAAATTAATAGAGCTAACTTTTATCTCCAACTCGAGCATAACTTTTATATAAACTTAGGATTTCTTTTTCTTAAAAGTTAAGCATCGTTTTCCACAATTTGTTCCCTAAAGATTAAGTTGAAATGTTTAATTTATGTGTGCTTGCTATTATTGACAATTATATATAATTAGGGAACAAGTATTACAATGGTTTCATACATGAATTCTTCTCTTCACGAACATCATGTACCAATAAATCAGACTTCCTATCATTTATATCATTTACGGTGCAGGAGGATCATAAACATACATCAACAGCTACTGGGGTCAAAAAAAAATTTTCTGCCTTTGGACATTCTGGTCGATATACTATCTAGAGTCCTAGTGATATCACTTGTGAGATTTCGCTGTGTCTGCAAGCAATGGCTTTCCTTAGTTCTAATTTCATCATTAAACAACACTCCAGAGCTCTCGCTAAGCCTTCAATTATGTCCAGATGATGGATAGAGAAGTCACTCTAAAATCTTGAACACGATAAGGGATGCTTTTTTAGGTTAGAGTATATTGAGATGTTTAACTGTATTATCCAATCCCGTAATCGGGTTGGTCTGTGGGTGCTATTCTACCAGAAAGATGATGAACAGTAACTACTCTACTACCAACTGCTACAATTTACTGAGTCCATTCACTTGAGAATTTGTAGAGATCCCAGGAATCAAGCCTTACAAAACGAACCGTTTTGGAGTGTCCTATGATGTATCCACAAAAGAGTACAAGTTAATAAGGCTACGTACAAATACAGATAACCTGAAACCTGTTGGTCGTGTGATACTCTCCTCAAAGGATGCACAGTGCAAATATCTTGGAGAGTTTCCTTATAGTTTACCGCATTCACCGCCACTCCTTGTAATTAAGTGGATGTCTTCACTGGATAACCCCGAGTATTGATCATAGTAACAATGCTCTAGAACCAATTCTGGTATTTGATACTAAAGATGAGAAGTTTCATTTTATGTCAATCCCCAAATGCTCACTGTGTTACTATTTTCAATGTGTCTTTAATTGAACGGGGAGGAAAACTTTGTTTCATTCAGCATCCTAATAGTAACACTTTCCTAGGGATATGGGTGCTCAGAGACTACAAGAGTCAGAAATGAGTTAAGGAATATAAGACAAATATGTCGAGAATTATAATCAAATATGGGGAACCCCTCGTTACTGGAATCATTGATCATGAGCTTATCCTTCATTGTCTCCAAGAAGGATATGTAGATTTGCACAAAGTGCATGAATTGAACAAAGCAGGCAGTATATTCTTATAATCACCATACCAACAAATACAGAAATGCCATTGTAGAGCATCAGCAGCGGGGTTCATTTTATTAGCAGAAAGCCTAGTGTCACCAAAAAGTTTGATAGGTGGTGTATCTATTCCATGGTTCTAGGGGAATCACATGTCCTGATGATGTATATTGTTAGTGTTTATATTCCCAGAGACTTTTGTTACTTATGGATATTATGTTTGTTTGGATATGCTTTTGAATATATATTAATATATTTATGTTAGTTCAGACTTGAATTCTTGAATGTATTACGAATGTTTGTTAGTGTATTACTGTTTGAACTCGTCAGTTGTATTGACTAACTTTTTCATGTTTAATTTTTAATTTAATAAATTACTGCATGGGGATGTTCAGGGTAACTCCTACAATACTCGCAAACTAACGACCAACTGATGGGAGGGATCTCCTGAATATGTTTTAATGTGTGAGGAAACATGAAGATTTCATGGGTGAATACTGAGAAGGGACCTAAAAAGAAAGAAACAAAGCACACACAAGTATTTTCTGCATTAAACAAACTGCACAAGTATAACCTTCCCCATAATTACACAGGTTATTGTTTTATCTTTTATTTGTGGCTAAATTTATATTGGAAAGACCCGTTTTATTCATTGTTTAGTTTACAGTCTTTAGCCACTGATTTCATGGATCAATCATAGACAACACCTCAGTCGTTCCATTAATACATAAGAACAGTATTTTTATGAACAAATTGGCCATATATATATATTATATATTATTATATATATATATATATAATATATATATATATATATAATAGCAAGAAGAACATTTGCACAATTCAAAAGAACAAACACAAGTAAGAGCAAACCTGTTGAGTGGACTGCTTAAATAATAGAGGACTGGATTCTGATTCTACGAGTTGATGAGCCTGTCCATAACTAATTCAAGAACTGCAGAAGCATCGACTGTAACAGCAACTTTTACAGTGGGCTTGTTAGACCACTCTGTGATCTCGGCGTACCTGAGAGATTTAAATATTTATTAGTTATAAATATAAAACAAGCATATATTTTTTTATGAAGAGTTCTGGTGAAGAAATATTAAATGAAAATAAAAGGTAACAGGGAAGTGTCACCATATCATCCATGATTATTTGAAAAACTATGAATATAAACTATTAACTTGAAGATGCACAATCCTTTTAGTTCTGTCAACGAGAAGCTCAGAAGATACAATATGAGAAATATATACTGATGTATCCAATAACAAGCTAAGAGAAGCATAGTACAATATCATATAATTTATTCAAGTGAAGAAACAATTAATCTCAAAGTAATAAAACAAATCTAGATGCGATTGATTAATCCCACAAAACTGCCCTGAACATTGTTTTTCACACTAACCCCCAAAATTTTTCCCACAAAACCCCCAAAGCTCCAAGGTGCCTCAAATAACCCCCAAACACTTTTAACTTTTTCCAATAAATCCCTCAAAAAATGTCTCTCACAATTGAAGGACTCTATTATTTGCACATTTGTGTTCTTAACTTGTTTTTGATGGGGCTTCTCTTCTCCTTGCTATTTGGGGGTTTTGTGGGAAACTCTTTTTTTTTTGGGGTGGGGGGGGGGGGATGGGGGGGGTGGGGGGGGGAGGGAGGGGGATGTTAATTGAAAATATTTTTGGATTTTTGTGGGATAAAAAGTTGAGGGGTTTTTTGTGAAAATACCCACTGCTCTTTATTCTTCTTCTTCTTTTATTTACTTTTTTTTTTTTTTTGGTGAGGGGAGCGTCGTGTATGTGTTTTATGTGCTATATGGTGGTGTTTTTTTTTTAAGCTATCCTTGATTCATATCTACATGCAACTGACTTCAAATTACTGGTCCGCAATGCATCCCATTTAACATGTATAAGATAATCTACTGACCTTTTCTTCGTATTGTCAAATATTGTCATTCCTCTTGTGATACCGCTCGTCTGAACCCTTACAACTCCTTCAGTATAGGTCAATAATGATGGATTGACAGCAGCAAGAATTGCAGTTGGATCATGAAGATAAACACCTATATCCATCCAGAAATGCATCAGCATCCAAGGGTTGAATGCTTCCCAATATCAATCAAATATATATTTTTTCATCATCTACAAACCTTGCATTTCATAAGCATCATGATGATATGAGAAGTAGAGAGCCAAGATCTTGCATAAATATTGAGCATATTTTCCTTTGGATTGTGCGAGCTTATCTCGATCAGCCACTGCAATGCACAAATAGTCACATCTAATAACAATTCATTAAGGGAAACTTAGTGGACTTTCTTCACTTCTTATTAGGGTTACTTCGAAATAGTCCCTCAAATCTTTAATGTTTTAAGTTTAATGACCACATCTTTGAAATTTCTATTAGGTCCCCTAAATCATATAAGTATTTTGGAATCACTGCATATCAATTTCAATGATTCACTGAAAATATACCTGAGAAAACAACTTGATGAGTCACATTAAGCCCTACGGCAACAACATCAGCCCCACTGGTGAATACAATATCAGCCGCATCCGGATCACCAAAAATCTGCTAATTCATTTTCACAAACCAAGAATTAACTGCTATTTACGAAAATAACAAATTTTTACTAAGACTAAAATAGCAAAGTGATATAATCACTAAGAGGAGACCTACAAAGACTTATATATTATAATAGCCAGGATAGGGGACATGCACATATGCTTGTTTGGGAAGAATACACATTTATTAGGAAGCAATGTATACAAACCATTTTTTTCTCAATTTCAAAATTTTTTGGAAACTAGAAAATACTTAGAGATGTTTGACTATTGTTAAATGGAAACATCATAAGGTCAAGAATGACGCACTTAAAATAAAATGCAGCAATTACATTTTGCCACTTGTGTAGAAGACTTGCTAGTTTAGCATGTAAAATGGAATCTAGCTGAAAATTCTTGCAGAAAATTCTAGTACAAGGTTCAATTGGAAGCAGAAATTTCATGATGATTTGGGTTCAAATATCCATAATATATTCTGTTGTAATGAACCAAAGGTTCTGCTTCCCCCTATCCTTGAAGCATCCAAGAGCCAAGTGGCAACCTCCATTTCTTGTTACAAAACAGCTAGTTTTTCCTTGCATTTTAATATTACTTTTTTACATTATACTATTTGATTTTGTTTGCTGCTCTCCTCTCCCGCTGTTTGTGTGTAGATGTATACTCACAATTTCATAGAATCAAGTTGTTACCCACTGGATATTGGGACTAATTAAGCATTATATAACAATGAGCATCTCTGTGATGTGTATGATAGCCTACAAACTTTTTGTTCACCTTTTAACAACAAATAACAAGAGCACTCCTTCCACAAAACATACACATAAAACACAAACATACACATAGAACACCTCATGTCATTTCCAAATAAATTTAGATTTATTCTAAGAGATCTCCTTATTCCATATCCTTATAATGTTATTACCTTTTGTTATAGAAATAGTAGCAGGCATTTGCAAATTATACCCCTATTTGTTTTGGAGTTGTAATATTGTTTGAAGCTCCTGAAGAAGAATCCTCGCAGTGACTCTCACAATTGACCCAAGTCTCTTGACAATCAGAAGTGCAAGACCATAGCGCGGACTTGCACTTCTTAATGCACTCATAACCAGGGGGAGACGTTTGGCATGTTGCTTGCTGAGCAACTAAAGTTATCACAAATAGAACGACAAGGATCCGAAGAATTTGATGGTCAGCCATGATAGTGTTATCTAGGAATTGCTAGTGTATATTATGTTCCTTAAGCGAGCTAGGGTTTGCGTATGTATATATAGAGTGGAGAATTTGAATGAGTACCATGTTAGTAATGATTGACCAAATCAACCAAAAACATATGCACAAATTAAAAGAATAATGGTCATGCTTGCGACTATTAATGAGATTTAATTTTGCCTATTAAATGGCTATCATTTTGTAATTAATAAGAATTATTTTGAGGCTGAGTTGGGGTGGATGGGTGAAGAAAGCCTCCATAAATTGGAGTGTTCTCTGAGAATAGAAAACACAAAAGAAAAGAAAAAGAACCCTCTTCACCACAATCAAAAACATGTGCACAAATTGAGAAAAGAATGACCATTTATTGGGCTGTTAATTAGATCTAATTTGGGCTATTAAATAGCTTTTATTTTGTAATTAATAAGAATTATTTTGAGGCTGATTTGGGGTGGAGGTGATTGGGTGAAGAAAGCCTCTATAAATTAGAGTGTTTCTAAGAATAGAGAACATAGAAGAAAAGAAACATAACCCCTTCACCGGAGCCGTAAAAAGAAATACCCTAACCTCTTCTCCTTAGTCAAGTAGAACTCAAAACTAGAACTGAGATAATTTTTGGATAAAAATTTATAATGTTAGTTAGCTAGAATTAGAACTAGGATAAAATTATATTGTGTTAGTCAATTAGAACTGGGATAGTTGTACAACATTAGCCTACTTTTTTCCATTTCTGTATATAAAAGTGAGATTTCTAGTCTCTCAAATTATCACAAGTTTTACCCTAGAACTAGTTGGTAAAAAGGTAGAACTCTCTTATTATCATGATTATTATTTTTCACATTTCTTTCCTTTTCTTCATCCCCTCTCTTTACCTCCTATGGTCACTGCCATCATTAGATTATGCCATTAGATTGGATCATCTCTCCTCCTCTTATTCCTCTTTATATATGTAATTTCCTTTTTCCACCAAATATTATACCTCTATGATTAGTTTAAAGTAAAACTTAATAACACCATAATTTATAAAATATTAAATATAACTGAAATTGAGATATGAAAGACGAGACTTGGAGTAAACAAAAGAAAATAGGGAAATAAATTATTTTTTAGATTTATACTATAATAACAATTCAAAAAATAAAACTTATAAATTATTATAATAGTTATTAAAAATATATTGTAGTCTTACCAAAAGTCATTCCATAGTAACTAATATTATTTTACAAACATCTACTAATCAATAATGGCAAGTTAAAAAATATGTAAGTCATTAGTTATATCATCAAATGCTTAGATTGTACAAATTATCCCACAAGTATCTCACTTCAAAAAATTATTCCTAACTATCCCAATAAAATATCTCACTTTTAACAATTATTTCAATTCCTATGAAAATGTTCAAAGTGACTAACCCCCTTTCTAAAGAGTATCAGAGCTGTCCAACAACCTAACTTTCTATCTCAAATTCCTAGGCCTTTTGTTCTATTTGTCTTCTTTCTAGGCCTAAGTCAGAGTTTTATCTATTTCCTCACTACAAAAATCTCCTACTAAAATAATCATGTGATCTTCACTCATCCCAACCTGTGAACTTTCGCTAGCCAACATTTTTAACTATTATTTTTTGGTACTAATTTGTGTTGTTGTATCCTCTCCAATCGAAGAGCCGCACGACAAGTGATCTAACCCTCAATCCTATGCTGACTGCTCCATCTCCTACGACCTCTGACCGCATCATTTGTGACCAACTCTTTTTATTTGAGCAGACTACCCTCACGTCATGTAGTAAAAATCCGTAATACAATCAGCTCATCCTCATCCGATCCACACCACAATAATGCTCTCTGATGATGATAGCTAAGAAATCTTTATTCTCGATAGCATAAAAATTTTGGTTTGCTCGCGATATGATCTCCCCCCACAATTTGCATACATATCAACAAGAGTGTAGTGGCAAGAATTGTATTGAGCTCAACCTTGTTCACCTTGATGAATTTATGGACCCTACTCTCCTCGATCCAATGCACCCAAATGCCCGCAAACCAAGATCATGCTAACTATAGTCGCATCAGTTGGTTTCACACTAAAACGCTACATCCCATCAAACAACTCAAACGCTTTTATCACAATTCCAGCTCTGTGCATAGCAAGCAAGCATTGTGTTCCAAGACACAAGATCATGACAAGGCATCTCTCTAAACACTCTCAAAGCTTCCTCAACATCTCCACACTTGTTATAACTACAAAAATTAAGTTCCAGGAAACCAAATTTCTCCTCAGCATTTTATCAAACACCTCATTGGCTTTCTTTAAATCCCCAACAAGCAAATACTCATTAACCATTGTGTTCCATGAACAATATTTCCAGCACCCCATACGATCAAAAACCAATCTCGCAAGCTCGACCTCCCTACACTTGACCAGTCCATCCAACATTAAGTTCCAACAAACAATCTGATGAATAGAACAAACATCAAACACCGTCCTTCACCACAACAGCATACATATGAATAAAACTGCTTTGGATATATGGGTCATAATTGAGTCCAGTTCTGACAATGTTGACATGAAGAATGAGGCCATTGGTGACGAGGGAGGAGGAGCATGCTTTGAGGTGAAAAAGGAAAGGTGAAGTTATTGGGCTATGTTTGAGTTTAATGCCGGAAACTGTAAAGAAAGCGAGGGCTTTGATTGGCGATTTTTTGACGACGAGGCTGCAGATGAAGACATTGTAGTGGAAAATAGCAGGAAACTGGAGGTTGGGAAATTGCTTGAGGATTTTGGTGTGGATTTGGTTGAGATATTTGGGGCTCTTGCATGATTTGAGGGAGTGGAGATGATGAAAATATCGTAGTTATCATCAGATGTAATCAGGAATTCTTCAGTTTGACATTCTAACAAATAGCTTATGGGTAATAGTCATTACTTCAATGTTATTCTATCTTTCTCCAATTTGATGCTCAGTATAGTTATATATTTGGGTAAATTCCCCCTAATAACATTCAAAATGCTTTTTAATGTTGTTTTTTTGTTCTAATTTATAGGGGTTATCTACAAAACTCAAAAAAACTACCAGGATTCTTTGCAATTTTATAAAAGTTATTTTGTCTGAGCACGATTTTGTAATTTCATAGGGATTAACTGCAAAACACTGAAAGTTTATGAGGGTGTAGTGTTTTACACTATATATTAGATACAAATGTTTTGTAAACTTGTGAAAATTAGAAGTAACTGCAGTAGATTTGGTAGCCTTGACAAATGGTATGTATTGGTTGGAAATAAAGCAGCAAATGTTTATATTTCAATTGTTTAATTGAGAACATTTTAATTAAAAGGTTTTTTTAAGATATTAGTGCCTCAAATCCTAACCAATTCTATATTAGTCCCCCAAATCTTTAAAATTGCTCATGCCTCCCTCAAATTCTAAGTGATATTATAATTTGGTCCCTCATTGATCAAAATACCCCTCTACTTAGGTGTTTGGAGTTTGGAAGGTAGAGAATATAAGCTGAGGGGTAGTTTGTTAATTGTTATTGATGGATCAATTTGCAAAACCCCTTAAGACTTAAGAGACAAACGAGCAATTTCAAATAATTGAGGGACTAATAAAAAATTATTGAAGATTTTGGAAACTAATATCTAAAAAAATGCTAACTAGAAATGGTCAATAAACATATAATATGTAAAAGAAAAAAATACTGCAAACAAATGTTTCATCCAATTTGATAGAGCCAAAGATGCAACCTCAAAAGGAAGGAAATTAAAGCATCATTTTAGCTCATAAAAAAAATTTAATCTCAAATAGGCAAATTATATATCTTATCTCATTGTATGATAAATTCATGTATATTTTCCCCAAATTACATTTAAATCAAAAATTGAACTTTCATTCAAATTACATTTCAGAAAATAAAATTGCAAATACCAAAACGATGAACATGAAGCCAATTTCCTGTGACATTTATTATTGTAATATTTGCTTCAATTCATTTTCACAGCAAACCAAAAAACCCTCCCATATATAGTAGATCAATTTATTACTCTAAGGGTATCAAGAACTTAGTTATGACAATTTAGGGGTTATTCGGTTCATTTCTAACCATAAATAAAAATGAAATCATTTCCTGACAAAGAACTCATTTACAATGGTTTCGTTATGATTCTTATTCTTAGAAAGCTTTTCATTGTGTGGTTAATCACAAGTTGAAGATGGAAAGCCGATTGCAAATAGGAAATTGGGAATGCTAGATTGCTACCTATTTCCCTTCCAACCACTAAAATGGGGTCTTTTTTTAATTATGTTGTGATGCCTAATTAGAATGTGTAGGGCCTCCGAAAATACCTTTTTCGTTTCGACTATAATCAATTGACTTAAGTATCAAAGGAGATTCAGTCAGAAGTTAACAATCTCTTGACATGTTTGCTCGTGCTCACAAGCATAACTGTCAGATCCCAACAGCTCAGAAACAAGCCGAGCCAGACCCTCTCAAGAACACCAAACCGGCCCCTGCTTCAGCAATCTCCAAAAATACTCCATAGTCCATCCACCAGTAACCCCCCACCCCACCCAAAAAAAAACAAAAGGTTTTGCTTCCCTGTATCCTTGAAGCGTCCAAGAGCCAAGTTGCAACCTTCATTTCTTGTTACGAAACAACTAGTCTGTCCCCTATAGTTCAGTATTACTTTTTTATTACATTAAACTATTTGATTTTGTTTGCTGCTCTCCTCACCCTCTGTTTGTGTGTAGATATGTACTCACAAATTCATAGAGTCAAATAGTTACCCAGTGGATATTGGGACTAATTAAGCATTATATAACAATGAGCATCTGTGTGAAGCGCATGATAGCCTACAACCTTTTTATTCACCTTTAACAACAAATAACAAGAGCACTCCTTCCACAAAACATACATATAAAACACCTCATGTCATTTCTATATAAACTTAGATTAAATGGCTTTTATTTTGTAATTAATAAGAATTATTTTGAGGCTGACCGGTGTAGGTGGGTGAAGAAAGCCTCTATAAATTGGAGTGTTCTTAAGAATAGAAAACACAGAAGAAAAGAAAAAGAACCCCTTCACTACAACCAAAAACATGTGCACAAATTAAGAGAATAATGGTCATTTATTGGGCTGTTAATGAGATTTAATTTGGGCTATTAAATAGCTCTTATTTTATAATTAATAAGAATTATTTTGAGGCTGATTTCCGGTGAATGGGTGAAGAAAGCCTCCATAAATTGGGGTGTGCTATGAGAATAGAAAGCAAGGAAGAAAAGAAGAAGAACACCTTGTCGTCGCAACCAAAAACATGCCCACGAATTAAGAAAATAATGGCCATTTATTGGGCTGTTAATGAGATTTAATTTGGGTTATCAAATAGCTTTTATTTTGTAATTGATAAGAATTATTTTGAGGCTGATTTGGGGTGGAGGTGATTGGGTGAAGAAAGCCTCTATAATCCAAGGATACCGGGAAGCAGATGCTTTTGGTTCATTGCACATAGAATGAATTATTCACTGTCTTTCAACTCTGAATTGTTCCACTGTTACCTTAAAGAGTAATTATAGTTATAGCTTTTGCCTTAATTCTTCGACCACTTTCATCATACAGAAAATGGGTAGACACATCAAAAGCAATAATAAGATGAATACATACATTAGCCTCTGCTGCTGGGTTAACATTCCCGTTAACTGAAAAGGCACCACCAAGAATAACTATTTGCCCAATCTTTTGTGCAAATGCAGGATCAAGTTCAATGGCCTGATATAAGATAGGACAAGTAGCAAATATTAGCTAGAATAGTCATATTCAAAAGGATCGCGGATAGACCCCCTACACTATTGCCAAATTGAATTTACTACCCCTGTAGTTCTATTGTTGCAGATAGACACCCTGAGTGAAATTTTTTAACCGTTTTCAGGGGTTTTATCTCCAGCAATGTATTTTCACACAGGAGGTTTATCTGCAACAGTAAAAGTATTTCAGGGATCTATCTGCAAGAATAGAACTACAGGGGCAGTAAGTTCAGTTTGGCGCTAGTACAGAGGGTTTATCTACAATTAATCCTGTTCAAAATGTAAGTCCAAGTAAACTAGACTCACCAAGGCAATATTTGTAAGTGGCCCAAGAGCAACAACTGTAATTTTTCCAGGATGAAGATTAGCTTGTTCAACGAGAAAAGCTGGTCCAGATTGATCAATAGGCTTCCCTTTCGGAGGAGAAAAGTTTTGGTTCCCGAGCCCATCCGAACCATGCACAAAATCAGCTACTCGAAGCTTTGTACCTTTCTTTTATACAATAACAAATAAAGTAAGATAAATTGTTGCAATTTGAAAAAAAGCAACAAGTCCCAACATGCAAACGCATTGTAAAATCTAAATATAATCTGCAGTGTCAGATGACATCATGCAAGTAAGGGTTGAAAGGTACTTTTAATCTTTCATATAAATAAACCAAAAGTCTGATGAACAAGTAGAGATTACTCCTAGGGTTGCTTTTTTTATTGAGAACCATTCACAACATTAATTTTAATGGTTTTTGGTAGTATTAAAATTTAAGCCATTCTAAGTAGCATCTATACACAATAAATTGTGGAAATATTTAAGTAAAAGTTGTATCCAGGTTCTTTTGCCAGCAATTTAGCTCATACAGACCATTAAAGTATGCATTAAATGGCATATTCTTCATATAAAAGAAGGAAAGAGGAGATTGTATTAATTATAAAATTATATCTTACAAAACCATAAATTATAAAAATTCAAGGCGTACCGTGAATGTTACATGAGAACCTTCAGCAACTGGAATATCACTCCTCTCTGCAAACTCCAACTAAACCGATGAATGAAGTAAGAAAGCATCAGATTCCGGTGCACATAAATAAATTATAAACTCAGCTTCACGAACCTTTTGATATCAAGTACAGATTACAGAAGAAAATTGCGGATGGATTGATATATGATTAAGTGAAGAAAAGGAGAATATTGGACAAAGAGTACTAGAATAAATGGGTACTACATTCCCTAAATGCATTAATGAGCATAATTTTGTGCATGAATCAGTTGCATAGAAAGTTCAGCTTCTAAAAGAAAAGACCTAGTTTTTCGTCATTGATAAACATGCGAACCATTTCAAAGAACTGCCATGGACTAACACTACATCAGACATCTCCTCCATCCACTGCATGTAAATTCCCCTCAAGGATAATACATGAGGAAATAGTAAAGGTTTCCAACTAATCATATAAGCATTACTCCCTACCCTCATTTAGATATCTCCAAAAATTTTTACTACTTACAAGCATTTGAAAGGGATTTGAAAAGAATAAGGTTTTTTACCTTAGTCCCTAGATATTTAATATTTTGAAACTAGTCATTTAAATTGCTATTAAGTCCCCCAATGTTTATATCTTGCTATGGCTAATCTTGACTGAGCAATTTGAAACAACTTATAAGAAGTAGGGGACCTAGTACCAATTTCAATGATTTGAGGGACAAAATTTGAAACAACTTATAAGTTATAAGAATTGGGTAAGCAATTTGAATTATTTAAGTGTACTAGTTTCAAACTATTACAGATAAGGGGATCTTTTTTCCAAGCCTACACCTTGCAACATGTCAAAAAATATAATGATAATATCATTCTATCACTGACATTTACCTCGAGCTTTCAGACATGTTAGAAACTTAAAGAAGGCAATGTGAGAAATACTGCAAACAAGAATTGAGCAAAATTATACAATTAATGGCACCATGATTTACCTCTTCCTGTTTTCTTCCATCCAACTCACACCCACTTCAAATTGAGAAAATACAACAACAAATACACTAAGACCCCACCAATAATTTACATCAAATAAATGAAAAAATCAACTACTTTTGCGCAAAATTACCAGATGCAAAGCGTTTCTTGTGGCCAGAGTGGTATAAACATTGCCATAGATCGTGGTCAAGCCGATCACCTCAACCTCAGGCGATTGAAGTGCTACAAAAATCGCCATGGCATCATCTAAATACCAAATAAATTTGACCCAATTGGATTAATTAACGAATTTAGCAAAATAATGATGATAAAAGATAAACTAACGATGAATCAAAAATTAAGGGATTACCGATTCCTGGGTCAGTGTCGATGATGATCTTCTTCTTCTCTGCTTCACCCATTGATTGAAAGAGAGGGCGAGAGAGACAGAATGGAAAATGAAGACTGAAGTTAATCTCTTGCACTAAAGTCTTCTTTCAACTGTTTCTAATTTGGGGGTTTGCCTAAATGCTACTTAAATTTATCTTATTTGCAAATTTACCCCACTTTTGCATGTTTACTGATTTTATTATACATTGATTTCCATACTCATTTTACTTAAAACGGCTAAAATTAACAAATTGGTATTCCTAGGAGGGCACACTCACCGGTTGGATACTTTTAGCTTTTTGCTGATGACTTTAAGATATAATTACAAAATACTTGCAGCAGCAATAAGCTAGCCCCAACAAAAATTCGTATTAATACCTTAGTACTGCTAGGGAAACTAAAAATATCAAATCCAAAAAAATGCCCTACTAAACTTTCCAGTTTTATAGTTTAGCCAACTTAAAAATATTGTCGTGAGTACCCTAATGGTCTAGAACGTAGGTTTTTCCCTGGTGCAAAAGCCCAAATGGCTAGACCAAATCCTCGGCAATAAACTATAGGTTGGATAAAATTATATGAGACCCCTTCTCCACAAAGGTTACGCCGGCTTAGGATTTAAAGTTTGATTTGCTTTTAGGATCAAATACCCTGACAAATTGGACAACTACAGTGGATTGGATATATATGCTGAAAACTCTTTTATGTTTTTTTAGGAAGCAGGAGGATATTTTTAGCGATTGTAGTGTAAACTACCAAATAAAATGAATTTGGTAATATATAACTGAAAAAAAAACTCTTTTAATTTTTACCCCTTCTGTTGGAGAAGGAAGTTCGCAAGAAAGTAAAAAAAAAAGCAAAAGAATGGAAAAGTAAAATACTTAAAACTTACAAGGACCAATACGGAATAAATCCTTGCATAACCGCATAAAGAAGAGGAAGCGGATCTGAATCTGCCGTCGTGGTCCCCAACTCACCAACTCGCATGGCGATTGTCATCAACCCCAAATTCAAAGCCCATTAATTAATTGCCTCGAAATTCAAAAAAGCAAGAAAACCCTCGTCTTTTTCCAACGGATCTCTGTCATTTGAATGAATGAATGAGAGAACAGAGAGAAACGAGAGAGAGAGAGTGAGCGGCCATGAACAGAGCAACGAAGCTCGAGAGGAAAAGCTCGGAGAATTCATCGAAGAAGAAGAAACCGAGCCCAAGAAACCCACTGAAGGATCTCAATTCGACTTGTATCAATCCTCGGATCTCTGGTGAAGCCCCAAGAGGAGGATGTTTTAGCTTCTTTGGATCGAATTCGTCGTCGTCGTTGTCGAGGCCTCGATTGACGACGCCGAGATCAGCTCCCACCAATTCCAGAACCCTAGCGTCAAGTAACCCTAAATTGAAAGAAAACCCTGAGATTCTGGGGTCGAAGGTGAAGCGAAACCGAGATAAGCCCGGATCGAAAGATACGATTTTGGGAAATGGGTCTTCGTCTAAAGGTGAAAACCCTGATCCTAGCCTTAGTTTTGATGTAAATTTGGAGAAAAATGGATGCTTGAATTCTAACCCTCACATAAGATTTGAAGTTGATCGGGAGAAAAATAGTAGGTTTCTGAATGAAATGCCATCGAGGTCTTGCTTAAATTCGACTCCTGAGAAAAGTTTCTTAGGGTTCAGCCCAGAATTAGATTTGCAAACTAAGGAAATAGAGCGGAATTTATCAAATACACCAAATTCAAATACAACACCTCCAATTCAAGCTTCGATTTCGCCGGAAATGGGTTGTGGATCCAATGTACTTCCGACTCCGGCATGTTTTGCTGCCGGTCATGTGATCACCGGGGTTCAAGATAGAAGAAAATGCCGGCCAAGGGGAATCCTTACTGTGGGCGGAAGTTGTGGGTTTTCTGATGAGTCTAGGGTTTCCTCTGCAGTGCCTCCTGTTGCTGATGCTTCGATTCAATGGCTTTCTTCGCCTCCGGGGAATGTCAATGGCAGCTCTAGTTTTAAAGCTGATGAAGCTTCTGTCAACTGGTTTGTTCCTCCTATTGGTGATTTAGAGGAGCAGAGTGGTCCAAAGGTCACACCTTTCAGAATTAGAGATTCATCTGATCTTGCCTTTTGGAGGTTTTCACCTACTATCCCCAGTACTTTAAGATCACCTGAACTTGATGGAATACTAGGACTCAGCTCACCAGACTTTGAAACCACACCATTATCAGGCAATGAGATTCGGAGAACTCCAAGTTCTAATAGCAGTATTAGTCCTTTTTCAGCTATAGTGCGAAGAGCAGCGCCACCGAAATCAGGGTTTAGGGTTTCAAGACCCCAAGAAGAGAGAGGAGGATATCGATATGGTACTGCTTCAGAAGGTACACCGGCTTCTTGGGATTCTTGGATTGAGGTTAATGGTACTTCTACACCATCATCTTATTCAAAATCAAGAAGAAACAGGATATTGTCTCCATTTAAGTTGGATTCTATGGCAGAGGTTTTTGAAAGCGTGAAATTATCTCCCAAGAAAGATGCCTGTGATCTTAGTTTTCAGTTTGGATGTCCTGGTACACCTTTAAATTCTGTTGATTTAGCTTGTTTCAAAAAGCCCTCAGGTGAAGAAACTTCTAAAGATAAGGATTTATATGGGTCTGAATTGAGAATATCATGGAGGGATGGACTTGTAAGCAGGATTTTTGAGATGGGTGAGCTTGATTATTGCCAATGTCTCTCAGATAATGAAGAAAATGCCAGTTGTGTTGAAGGAGAGAACAAGCGTGACACAAAAAATAAGAGCTTGGTGTTAGAGGAAGAAACTAATAAACACATACAAAGTGGTTCGGGGTCTTTTGAATTCCCTTTTGGTGGAATCGGCGTTCAGGAAAATGAAGCGAAGGTTGGTCCTCCAGGATCCAATTTATGTGCGGAGTCTTTTAGCACTGATGGTGGTCTAATTTCTTCTGGAGATTCTGATTGGACTCTTTTCTACAAGAACCACTTATTTGAAGTATGACATGCTTTACTTAAACCCTTTGTTTTTTTCTGTTCTAATTTTCAGAATGTTTAATAAGAAATTCAGAAGTGTGAGCATTTCTGAGACTTGTATCTGTAACTTCTAGTGATCTATGAATGATTTTTTTTAAGATCTTTTCTGTATGTCTTATTGATGGTTGTTGTGTTTTTAAATTACAAAATGTATAGGTGTAAACCATTTGGTCATTTTGCTTGAGCTGCATGATTATAAAGGTTAGGTTTGCATGGAAAGCTTGCCTTTTCTTGTATAAGGCTTTGGAGGATGTTGACGCTTAGGTTTAGGGAAGCTTTAAGTATATAAATCATCTCAATCCTCAAGCTTATGATGAAGAATTGCGAACAATTAGGCACTTTTATGATGTTGGTATTAGTTTTAGATACCTTTATTTCTCAACCATTTGAAATTTCTGCTTATTCAAGGCGCCAGAGAGTTTGTTTGTTCAAGCTGGACCGGTGATTTTTTTTAATTAAACTTAAGAACACAGGAGGGAGAAGTGTAGTTTACACTCAAAGGTTAAAAAATATTTGTTAACAGTGACTTTTTTGCGGAAATGATTTTGTTTCTTGTTACATAAGTTGCCAGTTCCAGTCCTTGTTAAAGTACTACCATGACCATGCAGGTATTTTGGGAATTATGTTTCATAAATAACCTGTGTTTTTTTTTTCTTATGTGCTACCTTCTTTGCATTTGGATCAACATTTGGTACTCTGGTATCGAATTTGTTCTTTTGCTTAAAAGCTCTGAGCATTCCATTGTTGTATGAGCAAGGAACCGTTATGATGCTAGCATTTCAAAAGACCATATGATGTAGGTTTCCTCTAATTCTGTAGTTCCTTGTGTGTTTTGATTTCAAAGTGAAATTCTTGCAGTGGGATAATGGTCAAGATGACTGGTTCATATAGTTGTACCGGTTTCTGTATTTTCTAGAAATATCCACACATGGTCACTATATTATTTCTGGGTTCAGTGAAATTATGGTGTAATCTATGTGAGCTTTTGACAATATGCTAATTTAGCTAGTAAGAGTCAAGTTGCCTTCATAATGATATTCTCACTCCTTAGTCCATAATTTAGCTAATTTTTTCTGGGTTCAGTATTATATTGCTGGGTTATAGGATAACATGGATTGCACCTTTGACCTCAAAAGCTTATTTCAGAAATCCATACATTTATTCATGTATCATTTTATTAATGAATAAGGTGAGAAACCAGTATATCGTATCTTCCTAAACCAAAGAAATATCCTCACTCCTTTCATAATGTGGATGAATTGTATAAGCCTCTACACTAATCGTGACAATTATATATTTATGCATACAATATGGAAGAAATAACCATATGTTCCCTATCATTAACTGAGAGTATGCATAAAAAGCATACATTTATTTATATATCATTTTTGTTAATGATTCTAAGGTGAAAATCCACCATATTTCATAATTTGGATGAAATGTATAATCCCCATTAATTGTGACAATTATTTATAGACCCTGGACACAATAGGGAGGAAGTAACCATATGCATGAACAAGATATTGCCCTTATTACAGATATATAATATTTGAGAATATTGAAGAATTTCCTTTTTTTTTTCACTCTTAATTAAAATCGGTCCTACATCTGTATATATACAAAAAAAAGTCTAATAAAGAAAATAACTAACTAGCTTGATTCTTTCCTAAATATTAGGAAACAGAATCATAGGAAAAGATCACAACCGATCTCTCCTTTTATTCCTAAAAAACTTTCCTAAAAAATAAATTCCCTAACTTTGACTTCTGAATATTCAACACTCCTCTCAAGCTGGAGAATATATACCATATAATCCCAGCTTGCAAATTAAGTCTTCAAAGTTAGGTCTAGGTAGAGCTTTGGTGAGGATGCCTGCAGTTTGTTGCTTGGTAGGAATGTAGTTCAATTTAACAGTCTCACTAGTCACCTTCTCTGTGATGAAGTGTCTGTCAATTTCAACGTGCTTAGTCCTATCATGATGCACGGGATTCTTAGCTATGCTGATAGCACCCTGATTATCACACATCATCAGAATAGGAGATGAACTCATTTGTCCCAGTTCACTAAGGACCCTTTTTATCCAAATCCCTTCACAAATTCCCTGTGCCAGTGCTCTGTACTCAGCTTCTGCACTACTTCTAGCTACCACTGATTGCTTCTTGCTCCTCCACGTAACAAGATTACCCCAGACAAAAGAACAGTACCCAGAAGTTGATCGTCTGTCAATGATGTTTCCTGCCCAATCTGCATCTGAATACACTTCAATGTCACGATTCTCTGTCTTTCTAAAGAATAGGTCTTTCCCTGGTGTCATCTTCAAGTATCTAAGAATCCTGTAGACTACTTCCATGTGTTCCTCTGTAGGACTATGCATGAATTGACTTACAACACTCACTGCAAAACCAATATCTGGCTGAGTGTGTGAAAGATAAATCAGGCGTCCAACAAGTCGCTGTATCTCCCCTTGTCTACAGGTGTACTTTCTTTCTTGGTGCTAAGTTTCTTCTGACTGTCTATAGGAGTATCAACTGGTTTGCATCCAAGCATACTGGTCTCCTTAAGAAGATCTAGAATATATTTCCTTTGAGAAACAACAATGCCCTTCCTTGATCTAGCCACTTCCATTCCAAGGAAATATTTAAGATTTCCAAGATCTTTAACTTCAAATTCTTCTGACAAATACTTCTTCAAATTCTGTAATTCCTCCACATCATTCCCAGATAGAATAATATCATCGACATAGACTATCAATATAGCAATTTTCCCAGAATGAGATTTCTTGAGAAACAAAGTATGATCAGCCTGACCCTGTATGTAGCCAAGCTTCAAAACAGCCTTTGTGAATATGTCAAACCAGGCTCGGGGAGATTGTTTAAGGCCGTACAAGGACTTCTTGAGTTTGCAAACCTGACTCTTTGCCATACTTCGAAACCATGTGGGATTTCCATGTAGACTTCCTCTTCAAGGTCACCATTTAGAAAGGCATTTTTTATGTCCAGTTGTTGCAAGCACCAATCTTGGTTGACAGCCAATGAGAGAAGAATTCTGATAGTGTTAAGCTTTGCGACAGGAGCAAAGTTTCTTGATAGTTTATTCCATAGGATTGTGTAAATCCTCTAGCTACCAATCGAGCCTTAAATCTCTCAACTGATCCATCTGCTTTGTATTTTATAGTGAAAATCCACTTGCACCCCACGGGTCTTTTCCTAACTGGCAAATCAGTAATAGTCCATGTTCCATTCTTCTCAAGTGCATCAGTCTCATATTGTACTCCCTTCTTCCACTCTGAATTTTGTAATGCCTCTTTTATTGTGTTGGGAACCTAAATATCATCAAGAGAAGTAGCAAATGCTCAGTAAGATGATGATAGCCTTTCATAAGTAACATAATTCCCAATTGGATGTCATGTACATCTCCTAACACCCTTCCTCAATGCAATTGGCATGGTAGAATCATCAATGCTGGGAATTGACACTTCTCCATCCTTATTCTTACCTATGTTTTCTTCAGGTGAACTTGAAATTGAGTCAATATCTTGGTCACATGCTGGTTGTGGTCCGTGCTCTAGCTCCTGTCTTTTCCTCCTCCTGATGTAGACTTGAAAATTCTCATTAGTAAGTTGTGGAGCCACAGATTGAGTAGGCATGGGAGACTGGACAGGCACGGGAGAAGAAATATTTGTGGGCTGGATTGATGATGACTGAACAGGCACGGGTGTGGACAAGTCTTGTGTACAGTCAGTGGGCACAAGCACAGGTTGAGAAGAACTTGGTGACTCTGAGTAGGTAACGGGTACAGACTCAAGAAGAGACTCCCAAACTTGATGTTCATTCATGCTCTCCCCCTGAACATGAGATTTGGGATAGAAGGACACATGTTCAAAGAAAGAGACATCCATGGTGGTGTAAAATCTTTTATTGGTTGGAGAATAACATTTGTACCCTTTTTGAGTTGAAGAGTACCCTAGAAAAATGCACTTATTTGCTCTAGGATCAAATTTGCTACGGTGTTGAGGATACACATGAACAAATACCGTGCAACCAAATAAATTGAGTGGTAAATCAGATGAAGCTGCACGGGTGTGAGGAAAATTTTACAGAAGAAGTTGACGTGGAGATTGAAAAGTAAGAACTCTGGATGGCATACGATTGATCAAATTGGTAGCTGTGAGAATGGCTTCCCCCTAGAAATAATTTGGAACATTAGAGGAAAACATAAGACACTGGGCAACCTCCAAGAGATGTCTATTCTTGCGTTCAGCCACCCCATTTTATTGAGGGGTGTCAACACAAGAACTTATGTGGATAATCCTGTGGTTCTGAAGGTAGGTATTGAGACTACTAGTAAAGTATTCCCTAGCATTGTCTGACTTGAGTACATGAATTCTAGAGTTGAATTGATTTTGAACCATAAGATTGAAGGTTTGAAAAAATTTCCCGACCTCTGACTTTTCTTTCATAAGGAAAACCCAAGTTACCCGTGTATGATCATCAACGAATGTCACAAACCATCGAGTGCCAGAAACATTTTTTATCCGTGAAGGACCCAACACATCACTATGGATCAAAGAAAAAACAGTTGAAGATTTGTATGGAATTTGAGGATATATTGTTCGAGTATGCTTCGCAATCTGACAAATTTCACAATGAAAAGATGCTGGACTTTTATTGATAAATAATTGGGAAACAGTTTTGCAAAATGCACAAAGCTAGGATGACCAAGACGATAGTGTAACAGTATAATTTCACTATCTTTATTGACATTGGAATTGAACACAGAATTGAAAGACTCTAACAGACTCTCAGACTGGACACAACTTGCTTGAGAAACTTGGTTTGAGGATCGGCCACATGAGAGGAGATAGAGCTCGGAGCACAGTTCAGCACTGCCAATCATCTTCCCCGATTTCAAGTCCTGAAAAACACATAAGTTTGGATAAAATTTTGTAACACATTGAAGGTCACGAGCCAATTTGCTAATGGATAAAAGATTACAATCCAAGTTTGGAACATGAAGGACAGAGTCGAGAATCGAGATACAACTCTTTAGTAAGTTGGATGGAACCTGTCCCAGCAATTTTTGAATTTGAACCATCAGCAATA